ACTAGGGGCTCCTGGCCTTACTACTAGGAACGAGAAGCTACTAGTAAAAGGGCATTACTTTACATCACGTTGGCCTCTTGGAGCTAAAGCTGCTTTCGCTGCCTTCCGAGACACAGACCTCCAGACAAGCGCATCTTACTGGCAAAGAAACCTTATTGTTCTGTAGGTTCATGAAAACAGCATTAAACAGAAGCGCTAAGAACATGAAAACATCATTTTCATCATATTCTTCTTCATCACCATCATCACATCATTCTCTCAATCTCAAATGTTGGGCAACAAAGCTCAAAAATGTTTCACCATGTTCCACATCTCACCTAGGCACCACCAATTGGCTGGCTCATGCTCAAGCCTGAAACGTCCACTATCCCGCAGGTCTTGCACATAGACTTCCTGCTTGGTACCTTCAACAGAAGTCAGAAGCAGCTGCTGGTACCCATATCTAATCACTAGGTACCTTGACCATGGCATCTAAGGTTCTGGCGGCCTCTTCCAGTTGCCTCAGAGAAAGAGATCATCAGATGCGCCACTGGCCGTCTGGCCACTGGGTGTCCCACGTGTCTGGGGCTTTGTCCAAAAGTCACTGGATCCTTCAAATCGCTTGCAATAGAACTGGAAGAGAAGCTAATTGCAGGAACTCCTCACAGTCTTCGCTGTACACCTGCAAGTGCACAATTAACATTTCTGCACAGCCCACTGCCAATGTCATGGGATTCTATTGAAGCAATTTGAAGGAACGTCCACGCACCTGAAATCGCGCAGAGGGTGCAATGCTTGCAGGAGGTTGCCTAGGCTCCAAAAGTAGGTGGCGCTCCCAAATCCTGCTATCCTTTTGGCTTAAATCATAGTGCTAGGACTATGTTCCTTGCAAATCCAGCAATGGAGATGGTGCCTCAAAGTGCAAAGACGTTTGTGCAGAAACGACCTCAGGAATAGCCTGAAAGGCCTGGGGGGGAACAAGAGCTGAGAATGTCCTGCATAAGCAGTTCTCTTATTGGATCATTTGGATGCTTGACAAGGTATTCTTCACTTATATTTCAACCAAGAAAGCCTTCCAACGGCTCGTCTTCATGGAAAGACTGTGAGGGACCCAAGCCGTTGTCATGTCAGACTTACTTCACCCAGGTTGCACCACCCTGCCCATGTGGCCCTCGCAGTTCCACACAGCTACACAACCAGGAGCCCCGATTGTAGCGTCCTTGCTCCTAGTAGTAAGGCCAGGAGCCCCTAGTAGCTTCTTGTTCCTACTAGTAAGGCACTTGTTACTACTAGCTTCTTGTTACTAGTAGCGTGGCACTTGTTACTAGTGTCCTTTTTGTTCCCTAAGGTATTTCATGTAGCCAACCTGCACTGGCCAAGGAAGTGCTGGAGGAGCCAGAGCTGCTGAGGACGAGGGCGCTGGAGGTGGCGCATCCCAAGTCTGGCGATGGAGCAAACGTGTCTCAAAATCAGAACAGATCGAAGACGATTGCGAACGGAAGCTGCCTAGGAAGCTGGAACCATGCAAATCTTGGAGTATGGTGGTGGGAAAAAAATGCTGACAGGCACTCTGGCAAGTGATGGCTAATATGGATGTGTCTTAAAATAGGCAGAGCTCCCAGTTCCCCTGGAAGAAGGAACACAAACCAGTCTAACCATTGGTTATCGGTTAGATGTTCCGCAATGCGTCCTGCCATATGAAACAGGCCTGAGGAAGTCCGGCCATCAGCCCATAGCTGCTCAGCGTCTGAATCTGGTTCAACGGGGCTCACCTTTACTTGAAGGTTTGACATAGGTTTGACCAGCTTGGTTGCTGGGGCCATGCAAACGAGCACCCCGCCATCCGCAAAAGCTTGAAGAGTTGAAGAAAAGCCTCTGTCTAGTCTGTGTATCCATACAGTTCAGGCGGCTTGAGCCCCAGCCATTCAGAACCACAGCATCACCCATGCATGAATCTGGCATATGATCATCTAAACTAAAATGTCCGAAAGCTCATGCGAGACTTGCGAACCAAATCATGTTTTTTTGCAACTGTCCTCAAGTCCCGGGCACGGACAAATGGACCGGGAATTAGAAAAAGCAACGCTGCGGCATGCAGGACGTTGGGATATCATGCGGCCAAGTCCAAAGACTCAGTCGACTGAGCGGGCAGGCTTAGAGCCAGGCCTTGGAATCCAAACGAGGAAAAGGAGGAGACGAAGCTCAAATAGGTGTGCTAAAAGTATCTAAAAGTGACTAGAAACCGACAGAAAAAGGGCCAAAGCAACAAAGCCAAACGAGCGCTTGAAGTGAGCCGAACTCTTCGTTTTCCTGGAGAGGAACGAGGTCGGAAGTGGATCCCCTCGTCTTGTTAGGGGCCCAGCTTTGCTGCAGGGGGCACGGTCTCTTTGGCCATCCTGTTCGAGTAGACAAGCAAAACGACACAAGCGCAGCATAGCACAGCCATCTGCCAGTACAAGCTGCTTGGATTCCAACTTGTTCGATACCATATCGGCCCTTTCCAGCAAATCCTTTCAACATGTTATCAAAAGCAAGAAAATCAGAAAGACTGAAAAATGCAAAAGATGCAAAAAGAACGGAACATTGTCTAAAAAATGGTCTCCGCAAAAAGACGAAGGAAAAGCACAGTAGTACAGTCTGGTAGAGTCCAAAAAGGTGAGGGATAAGCAGCGATGTAGCGCATATGCCTGGTAGGCTCTACATGTCGTGTCCTCGGTGCTCATATCAGCCATTGCATCCATTGCCTCGGCACATTCCTGCCTCTCTTGGACTTCTCGCATCATCTCAAAACAGGCTGTATAAACAATATATTTAGATAAGGTCAAATCAATATATTGCCTGAGACCATTCAAGCTGTCCCAAATCGCCTTCTTTGCTTGCTCTTCGGAGATCTTACCTCCGGTAAGCCTGGTCTGGGCAGGAAGGACAAACTTCTTTGCCCAATCGACATGTAGAATGCCTGTGACAGATGAGTTCGGTGCATTTGCAGAACCCCAGGAGGCATGCTTCCCATCATTTTCTTTGCTTGCTCCACGGCCTCAACAACCAGAGCTGTTTTGTTCACAAGCCAAGGATCCAAATAAATACCATCGAGGGCTATGCCTCTGGGTTGGACTTCAGCTTCTCCACTGCTTCGCGCATGGCTGAGGCATCTGGGGCCTTGCTTCCATCTACATCTGAAAAAACTCCTTGTAGCGTCCTTGTTCCTAGTAGTAAGGCCAGGAGCCCCTAGTAGCGTCCTTGCTCCAAGTAGCGATGCCAAGAGCCCCTAGCGTCCTCTATCTTGCTTTTCCAGAAAGTGGTGCAAATGGTGATAAGTCATAAAGCTGAGCTGTTCGTAAGCCCGACGCGCCTAAAAAACAATCCGCAATCCGTCTAATCCGCGAATTGCACGGAATCCGTTTTAATCCGTAATCCTTGGTGTAATCCGTAATCCTACTACCTACGACATATCCTAATGCAATCACGTCCTACCTACTACTACCACCACCAGAAAAACACTACTGCTAGTACTACTACTACTACTACCACAACTATTACTACTGGGAAAACCAATCCCCAAAAAGCAACCTTCCAAGAGAAAACGGTATTTCGGGGATTGCTTTTGCACACTGCTACTACCACCACTAGAACGGCTACTGCTAGTAGCATTACGATCACTACTATCACTACTTGAAAAAAGCAATCCCCGAAAAGCTACCTTCCATAAGAAAACGCAATTTCGGGGATTTCTTTTCAAAATTGCTATTACCACCACTAGAACAACTACTGCTAGTAGGAAAACGACCACTACTATCAATACTTCAAAAAGCAATCCCCGAAAAGCTACCTTCCACAAGAATATGCTATTTCGGGGATTGCTTTTGAACATTACCAGTACCACCACTAGAACAACCACTGCTCAAGACCACTACTATCACTACTTGAAAAAGCAATCCCCGAAAAGCTACCTTCCATGAGTAAACGCTATTTCGGGGATTGCATTTCAACATTACTACTACCACCACTAGAACAACTACTGCTAGTAGGAAAAAGACCACTACCATCACTACTTGAAAAAGCAATCCCCGAAAAGCTACCTTCCATGAGAAAATGCTATTTCGGTGATTGCATTTCAACATTAGTACTACCACCACTAGAACAACTACTGCTGGTAGGAAAACAACCACTACTATCACTACTTGAAAAAGCAATCCCCGAAAAGCTTCCTTCCATGCCAAAACGCTATTTCGGGGATTGCTTTTGAACATTACTACTACCAACACTAGAACACTACTTGAAAAAGCAATCCCCGAAAAGCTACCTTATGAGAAAATGCTATTTCGGGGATTGCTTTTGAACATTACTACTACCACCACTAGAACAACTACTGCTAGTAGCGTCACGCCACTTGAACATTACTAGTAGTAGTCGTTCTAGCGGTGGTAGAAGTAAGGTTGAAAAGCAATCCCCGAAATAGCATTTTCGCAGGGAAGGAAGCTTTTCGGGGATTGCTTTTTCAAGTAGTGATAGTAGTGGTCGTTATTTCCTACTAGCAGTAGTCGTTCTAGTGGTGGTAGTAGTAATGTTGAAAAGCAAGCCCCGAAATAGCGTTTTCTCATGGAAGGTAGCTTTTCAGGGATTGCTTTTTCAAGTAGTGATGGTAGTGGTTGTTTTCCTACTAGCAGTAGTTGTTCTAGTGGTGGTAGTACTAATGTTGAAACGCAATCCCCGAAATAGCATTTTCTCATGGAAGGTAGCTTTTCGGGGATTGCTTTTTCAAGTAGTGATAGTAGTGGTCGTTTTCCTA